CACACACACACACACACACACACACACATATAGATATTTGTTATAAAAAGCTTCAAAAGTAATTCTTTTGGGTCATATTTCAAATATTTTATTCAAACTACCAGTAGATAAGGTATTTATTTATTATATTTTGACAAAATATGGTTAATAATTTGACCAATGCACTATGACTGCCTTTTACTTAATCCTCAGTTCGACGTGATGCATCACATACTATAACATAATTACTATACTATTTTTATTAATTTGTAATGATTGTAATTTCTGCAACAAGCATGGTAGAAATGTTCCATTTGCAATTTATTTGCATTTAAAATCATCTCTGGAAATCATCTGAGGACCCTCACTTGAAGTTTTATGACTCACAGAGGGGCCCTAACCCCAACTCTGGGAACCAGTGCTTTACAGGATAAAACAAAAGCTGTAGAACATAAACAGAAAAAAACTAGTATGATTAGCTTATGCTATAATTTGGAACAGCACATCAAATGGTGACATTTTTGTTTGAATTGTATTTTCCCTTTTTAAATAAAGTTAATATCTCTCTATTAATACAATAAAAAATGAAACAGAAAAAAAAACAGAATTATATTTGTTATGACTGAATTCTTTCAAGCTTCTAAAACACTATGTTACGTTTTACTTTTATTTAGAATAAATCAGCATGAAGAGGTCTGTTCATGTCATCTCATAGGTGCAGCTCTTATTTGACCGCTTTTATTTTGAAAGCACATAGTTCAAACGGAGCAATAAAACAAATGATCACAAAACTAGATTTTATCAGCACAGCAAATTACTAAAAGAAAATAAAAACTACATCCTGATTTGTTATTAATTTTGTTTACTATTGCAGTTATATATGAAAAGTTTGAGAATTTATATTTATTTTATTTAACTGCTTGTGTCCCGGGGGTAAATGTCTCGTGGCCTGCTGTTAGTCTGCAGACCTGTAGTTGGAGATCCCTTCATTATTCTAGAAACAACACACTAAAAATTCCAATATTTGCATTTTTTTTCTGAAAGAACACTCACACAGCCAGGTTTATTGACTGAACCCCAAATCTTTATTAACCACTGCTTGCTCACAAAGATATACGTGGAGAGGAGGAAACACACAGATGGACGGAGGAGAGAAAGAGAAGCAGGTATAATAAACTCCTGAAAACTGTTATACGCCGCATCGCCGTCGCTTTATATCTAATCAGATCAAAATCACATGACACTTAACTACCTGACCTTTCTGAAATATACGCTCACACACGTCACTCACACACATCTATGAGCCGACTGTTCAAGCACCAGCAGCCCTCGTTACAATCGTCTGCATCCTGTAGCACTCAGAAACACCTTCATGAATGGAAATACTGTTTTCATGGATGTTTATGTTTGCAGTATGGCTTACATATCTTCTTTGTGCCAACATTAAAGTGGATTTTATCTTGTTTCTTTGTGGAAAAATGTAATGATTCCAGCAGATGATGGAGGAAAACTTGTGACATGGAGAAAGCTGCTTATTTTTTTGTTGTTGTTTTTAGTGTAGATTCACAGTAAGCTGAGTGGGGTTTTGAACTCCAGTGTTCTAAGGATGCACCTTAAACCTCAGGTGTGTAACTGGAGGGTTGGTTTTGAGGGATTTTTCCGAGGGTCTCCTGAGCTCTGTGCTGTGGTTGTTGGCTGTGCGGAGAGCATGTAGTGTTTTTTATTAACTTGTACAGTGGAAAGATGGAGATGAAGGAAAAGAGGATGAGGATGGGCTCATTAAATGCTATAGTGTTCTCCTGCAGGACAGTCACTACCTATTTCACAGGAGTGGAGGTGCAGCGACAGCTTGCGGCCCCCCACAGACCCCCCGCCCCCCGTTTCCTCATTCCAACGGCTTCTCCCTTCACTCACTAAGTGGGTCATTGGCAAAAGTCTGAACCGGAAAATCTCTCCGATTAAACGCAGATCTGCCGGGTGAAACAAACGAGGGGGGCGGAGCCATGCAGGTGGGCTCTGTGAGGACCCGACCTGTCGCAGCACAACATCAGCTAGCTTGGCAAACTCACAACAAACACCTAAGCTTTGTTACCACACAAAACAAGCATTCCCAGGCTGAAATGAAGAGAAACAAACCCCAGATGAATGAATGAAATGAATGAATGAATGAATGAAACAGAACAGAAGATCACATCCATATAAGCAGGGAGCAGAAACTTAGATGTAAAAATGGCACACTGCAATCAATACTTTTGCTGCTTTATCGCACCGTATATAACAAACAAAAAAAGTATTTACAAAAACCACCGTCGCTTGTCAATTTGAATTTTTTCCTTCTTCTCATTTCAAGCAAAAACATTCGTTTTGGAAGGGAATGGCAGGAGACAATATTTTTTTCTTCTTTCTTTCTTTTTAATTTTTTTAAAATTTATTTTAATCCTTTCCACCTCCCCAACCCCGTTTGAACCTCTGCTATCTCAGGGTGGTGTCTTTTTGTAGTTTCATAGTAATACAGAAGGTTGGGATGTGGGGAGGGAGGGGGTGTGATTCTGGCAGGCAATAGGGTGGAGAGGTGTGGACGAGTAGGGGACGAGGTGGGGCAGGAAGTGGTCCTCTGGGGCTGGCGGTGGTGACAGAAGGTGGGGAGGTAGGGATGTAGAGCCTGTGGAGAGGAGGGAGGGGAGGGGTACGGGTGGCGCTCCTCACGGCAACAGCTCTTCTCTCAGCTCCTTGTTCCTGCGCACCTCCTGAGCATGCTTCTCCTGCGGGGGGCGGCGG